AGATGGGTTCCAGGTGCTCCACCAACCACGACAGCAAGAAAGGGGTGGGGGAGTGGCAGTTATTATCCGAATGTTGTTAGTTCCTCGCAGGATCCCTGTTCCAGAGATTGTGGGGTGTGAGTCTCTCCTCCTGAAGTTGGACCTAGGGGTTCAATTTGGCTTGTTTCTGATGTACCTACCTCCCAGCTGCGTCACAACAGCCCTGCCTGCGCTCCTAGAGGCAGTAGCCGGGCTGGCGGTGGAGTTCCCCAGGCTAATGGTGCTGGGGGACTTTAACTTGCCATCCCTAGGTGAATACTCTGATGGGGCACAGGAGTTCATGGCTTCCATGACAACCATGGACTTAACCCAAGTAGTTCAGGGTCCAACTCATAGAGCGGGACACACACTCAACCTTGTATTTCTCTCAGGGCAGTGGAGACGTGATCTTGAATTCAGGAGAATAGAGATCTCGCCCTTGTCATGGTCAGATCACTTCCTGCTGAGGCTCAACTTTGGGATGCTATTCCCCCATTGCAGGGAGGTGGAGCCGATTAAGTGGTTCCGCCCCAGGCGCCTGATGGACCCCGAAAGGATTTCAGAAGGAACTTGGAGGGATACCTGACTCCCTTGCTCGCAATCCGACAGAGTCTTTGGTCGTGGCCTGGAATGCTGCGGCGGCTGAGGCATTAGATCGGATTGCACCTTTGTGGCCTCTCCGCGGCAGTGGATCCAGGAGGGCACCTTAGTTTACCGAGGAACTCCAGGAGATGAAGTGCCAAAAGAGATGCCTAGAGCGACACTGGAGGACTAGTAACTCCGAATCTAACCAAACACTATTAAGAGCCTTTATTAGGACTTATATAGTGGCGATAAGGGCGGCAAAATGTGCACATTTTTCCGCTCTTATTACATCTGCAGAATCTCTCCCAGCTGTCCTGTTTAGGGTGACCCACTCCCTCCTGAAAGGTGAGGAAGCGGGGGAGCCCTTGCAGGGAAGAGCTGAGGAGTTTGTTCAGTTTCTGTCTGATAAAATCACTCAAATTCGGGCAGACCTGGACTCTACTTGGGCAGCACCAGCTGAGATGCCAAGGGAGAGTCTTAGTCAGATTTGCTGGGATGAGTTCAAGTTTGTTACCCCTGAGGAAGTGGACAAGGCCATGGGAGCAATGAGTGCCTCCACCTGTTTACTGGTCCCGTGCCCCTCCTGGCTGGTCTCGACCAGCAGGGAGGTAACACGAGGCTGGCTCCAGAGGATTACGAACGCATCTTTACAGGAGGGGTCTTTCCCTCAGCCGTTAAAGGAAGCGGTGGTAAGGTCTCTTCTTAAGAAGCCTTCTTTGGACCCAGCTATTCTTAAGAACTATCGTCCTGTCTCCAACCTTCCTTTTTTGGGAAAGGTTGTTGAGAAGGTGGTGGTGCTTCAACTCCAACAGACCTTGAATGAAGCAGATTATCTAAACTCCTTTCAGTCTGGTTTCAGGCCTGGGTACAGCACAGAAACCACTTTGGTCGCACTGACCGATGATCTCTGGCAGGCCAGGGATAGGGGACATTCCTCTATCCTAGTGCTTCTTGACCTCTCAGCGGCCTTTGATACCATCAACCATGGTATCCTTCTGCGACGGTTGGAGGAGGTGGGAGTGGGAGGCACCGTCTTACGGTGGTTCTCCTCCTACCTCTCGGA